TCAAGGAGAGAGACAGAAAGACAGAAAGAGGAACAGAGAGAAAGATGGAGCGAGGAGAAGCCAAAAGACAGCAGGAGATGGCCAGGCTGAAAAAAGATCCGGGAGAGAAAAAGAGAGAGAGAGAGAGAGAGAGAGAGAGAGAGAAAGCTTAAGCAACTGCACCATGGGGCAGCACCGAAGACAGGTCAAGTAACTAAGCTGGTAGTCTAGCTGATTTTCCCAGGAGCTTGAGCTAGTTATCAATGTCCACAGTCATGTAGATCTAAAATTAAAGGGCACATTTAACAGAAATCTGAATTTGTGTGTAGTTTTTAATACCGGAGATTAGTGTACTTTAACCTGTTTTGAAACATTCCTAAACATACTGCTCACTCCCTAGGCCAGGGATCGGCAACATTTTTATTGAGGTAACGTTTTACCATCTTGGCTGTCTCAGTATGTGCTAATGTAGTGTGGACTAAAAGATATTATATAAACAAAAATCCAGACTTACTTTGTTCTGCTTTAAGCTTTACCTCAGCTATAGATGCTTTTCTCGCATCTCCAGCAGGAAACTTTCCCACAAAAGTAGAATAGTTTCTTGTAAAATGTCCCTCAACGTTCGACTTTTTACAAGGCTGAAGTCGCTTCTCATTCGCCAGCTTCTTGTTCGAATTTTCCCTTTCCACCTTAAATGGTACCTGAGGTGCCAGAATGTAACTGCTGTTAAGAACAGGGAAATTTGAACAAGAAGTTGGCGAATGAGAAGCTGATTTCAGCTTTGCGACTTTGTAGTGTTACAGTTTCTCACTGCAAATTAAACATATCAGGAAACCAACTGTAGTGCTATAAATATCAAATGAATCATTTTGTCTCCAAATTGTGTTCGTCTTAGATCTTTGTCTTTGCTGTTTTGTTAGCTTCTAGCTAGGTGAAGCTGTTGACTGCGTTGCTATGGTGACCAGCAGTCTTCAGGGTTAAAGGGTGAATTAGCAGTTATACATTAACTCCAGAGTTTAGGACTATTTATTGTTAAAACCTGTGTTGAACGATCAGCAGAGCTTTGTTTCACCACAAAAGGGGATTATTTTATTTTTACCTAAAAATCTAATTCTGCTGTGGAGCCGCAACAGGGCAGTAAAAGAGCTGTGTGTTGCTGACCCCAGCCCTACTCCATATGGTCAATATATTTCCTAGCTCTGCCTGGTTGTGATGTCACAGTCATGAAAATATTTTCATATAACTGCCCAGCAAGCCTGTAGCAGTTTAGCTTACCTGTTTACACTGATGTTCCCGCAGACAATCTGTAGCAGACTTACTGGAGTGGAAGATGTTGGAAAATGCGAAACTGTTGTGCTGTTTCTCACTGAAGCTTTACTTATAACTTTAGCATAAATAGGTAAAACTAAACTGCAGTATCTTGACTTATCAGATATATGTAAATGCCTTACTTTTGTGGCATCACAAAACCAGCAAATTCAAATCAGACCATTTTTGTAGTTTACTTTCCATGGAACTTTATTTATAAGTTTATAAATATTCATTTTAAAATATTAACAATATTGACTTGCGATATCAAGTAAATGTGGTTTTCCATGATAATTGCCCTTTAAATATTTTGAAACAAAGGGTTAGATAGAAACAAAAGTGTTAAAATCTTGAAATTAGAAATTGTTCAATCATTTTTTTCTCAGTGTTATCTAAGTAGATAAAGCCAAGTGAGCTCTCCCATTAGGACTTGGAAGGCCTGAGCCTGGCTTTATACCATGAAACTCTCGTTGCTTGAAACCTACATGAAACTAAATTCATGATCATGTGTAATAATGATCATTGTTTAAAGGCATACCTTTAAACAATGGATTTCACTGGTTAAATGGACAAAAAAATAAAACAGAAGATGGTTTATTGGGCGGTTGAAAAAGAAACCCCCCCAGCCCAACTGACTCAAGGTTGATAACATTATATTATCTCAGTTTCCAGAGCCATGACAACAACCTGGGCTAACTAGCAAATAGAGCTAACAGCGGCATGCAAAAAGTTGCATGCAACTCACAACATACAACTAGATGCATGAAAGTGAAACCATGTAAAGGCAGCTATGCGCATTAGATCAACCACCAACATAAGGAACTGACAGTGGAATCAACTAATCTTGTTTTGATTCACAACATGTGGAACCAAATTAGTGAGAAAATCATCACTTCAGGTCTTCTGGAAGTTCTACATTCATCACAGACTGTGAACACAAGCTGTAACCTAGCCAGATTTCAGTTAGCCGTTAGCAACAGCAGCAGCAGCTCTACACCAGAACTCTTTACTGAGTCACTGTAAAACTGACACAACCAAGCTCAAATGTGCACTAGTGTTAGCTTAGTGCTAACATACTGTTAGAAATCCCATAGGGATGCTATCAGAAATTAGCATTAAAGTGTATAGGTATAAAGTGTAGAGGTCTAAGGTTCGCCACTGTTTGTCTGTACGTCAGTTTATGTGTGTGTGTGTAACAGTGATGTCTCTTTGATGTTGTCACCACTCCCCCCTTGCCGTCTCCCCCTGCCCAAACAGAACCTTGTTTGGGTTCAAAGCAGAGAACAGAGGCGACTCTCTCTTTTAAACGATTAGCTCTCTAAGCTCCGCATAATGACACACACCCACTGAAGTGCGCAGTTTATTAACGGCATAAAGACGATATTATTAGCCCACTGAAAGACTATCGGCCCGTGTGCCTTTCAGCTTAGCAGCAGGAGTCACCGTGGCTTTGATCCGGCTGCCGTTAAATGTCTTTGTGAAGCGCTGGAAACGAATCCCAGCCAACTGCAGAACAGCAGAACAGGGAGGCGTCAATTATTAACTCCCTTCCCTTCCTTTCTCATCATAACATCAACACAAAAGCTAAACTCTGTTTGTTGTTATGGCTACTTTTTTTACTATAGGTCTCTTTTGTCCTGCTCTTGGTCTTTGTCCTGAACAGAAAGGTCAGTTTCCCTCTGAAAGTGGTTTAAAGGGATACTCCAGAGTTTTTCAGATTTTTCACTATCTGCTGCATCTGTACTATTGATTACTCAGAGGTGTGTAGAGTAGCCATACACAAGTGAAAGTAAACCCAGGTAAAAGTAAACTGTATCATGCAGAATAGATTTTAAAGTTCTGTTACTTGTTTTTCAGGCTCTAAATGATCTGTTTATGTTCCAGCACGTGATCTTAGATCCGTAGATACTGACCTTCCGTAAACACCTTCTGTAAAAAGCAGAAAACAAGAAGAGACTCTTTCAGTTATTCTGCTTCTAAACTGTAGAACTCAATTCACCTTTTATTAGACAGTCAAGCTCAGTGCTCACTTTTAAGAAGCATCTAAAAACGTGTCTTTTTACCTTTTTAAGCGTTCAATTAAAACTCTACGTTTCATGGTGTTTACCTGTGTCACGCTCTTATTTATACAACAGTGAGTTCTGGCCACGCAAGTTGATAGCATTCTAACTGTTTTTTCACAAACAGTTAGAAGGAACCACCCCAGTGACTAGAGGGGTACTGCTCCAGTGACAGTGTAGTACCTTTATTTCTGAAAGTGTACTGTATGTCTATGTTTGATCATGTAGGTGTGATATTTTGTTTCTAGCATGTGTCTCATACCTGAGGATGGATGTCTAAATATAGCATAAAGGCACAAAAACAACAGCTCCTTTGTGTTCAGCCTACACACTTAACACCCACCCACACCCACACACACACACACTCACATACACACGAAACCACAAAGACTACAAACCTGTACACATTAAATAAATATGCACGGATATCATTTAGTTCAGGAAACACCTCACACACACGTCTGTGGTTCGTTTCAGCTCCATCGAACCAAACAGGAGAGTTTAGCAGTTACACAGTGCTCTAAAACAACTGGCAAAGCTTGTCATGTTAAATAAGATCAAAATACCAAAATATTACATTTCATCAGGAACACATGACACACAGCATATTTACATATAGCGTAGGTGACAGCTAGAGGTGAGTAGAGTAGCCTAGTAAAAGCACCTTTCCAAAAAACAGTAAGCCTCATTTATCAATTGTTCTTAGGAAGAAATTTCTTCTTAAAACCCACTTACACAGTTTTTACAAAGATTCTGACGTTCACCAGTGTTTTTTAATTTAGATTTGTTATTAGGTAAGAGCAGAATCTACACACACTCCAGAGCACAAAGGTGTGAAGAGTTCTGTGGTTTACGAACGTCATGAATCTGAAGTAGGCTTTTTCTTAGCACCTTTTTCAAGACCACATTTAAGAACAGACCTAGAAGGATATTGGTGAATGAGGCCCAGTGAGAACAAGTACAAGCAGAACAGTATTAGGTCAAAATTACCTGAGTGCTGAGTTCTCTATAAAACTGAGGCAGATGCTGAAGAAATACATATAAGACTGTGTAACCCAGGTGTTTTAGATACAGCAGTGTTGTAGTGTTACTGCTAGATTGAGAATAGACCACCATCCAAAAATATCCAGCTGTGAGTGTCTCTGTGGTCAGAAACTGACCAGTGATGACTGTTGACTGAATTCTTTTGCACTGTATGTGCACATAGGTTAACACATACACATTCTTAAAGTTTATGTCATCTGTCTCGTGCTGTCTTGTCGAGCTGTGTACTTACTGTGTTTAATGCACTGCACTGTCTCATGGAATTGCAGAAGAGAAGAGAAGAGAAGAGAAGAGAAGAGAAGAGAAGAGAAGAGAAGAGAGTTCCTGGTCTTTTGTATTTGTCACCTGAAGGCCACTGGTGGGGTGTTTAGCTGGAAAAGGTGTGTGGAAAGCCCGTGGGTTTGTTTTGTGCAACTGAAAGCAGGAGCTACTCTCGATGGTGAGGGGAAAGAGGAAAACAACAGGGCTCTGAAACTTTATTGTGGTGAACTGCATAGTGCACAAACTGGCACTGAAGAAGAGACTTTGTCAGCTCCTCAGGAAGTAGGAGGAGGCAAGTGAGGCCTGCAAATATCCTGTTATACGTCTATAAGTGTGTGTGTGTGAGAGTGTGTTTGGGAGAGTGTCAGAAAGCGTGCGCATGTGAGTGCTGATTTTGTCACAGCGTCAGTTTGATCGGCCTGACCTTGCTGAAGTAGGTGAGAAGATATTTTGAGAAGTTTACGGATGCTCCTGTATACTCTGTACAGTGGATGGATTTTGCCATATGTTGCCATTTAAGGGAATTTAAGGTGGCGCTGGATCAATATTGGGACAGATCATGTGGATAAATGACAGCAAGTGAGTGATGTTTTAATAACCCCTTTAAGACTTTCAATCCTCTTATAGCTACATACTGTAATTTTGTAGTGGTTACTGAAAAATATATACCGGTTGCTGGACATTAGGCCTGCATAATAGTATTTGGAGGCCATCAAGAAGCTAGCACCATGCCGGTCACTTTCGGAGAACTCAGCACCCTCACCACTCCGCTTTCAGTGGCCCGTTTCTGGGCTTTGCTCTTCGGCTGCCTGGCCTTCAGCCTGGCTGCTGTTACGAACACCTCTGAGTACTACTTGAACACTTTTCACACCTTCTGCATGGCCACCTGGTGCATCTTCTTCATCTTGACCTTCTTCATTGTGGCAATCAACTTTGTCCAGTTTCACAGCCTACTGCCCTTATCGTGGAAAAACTTGACTGCGACCGTGTCAGCTTTGGGCATGCTAATGACCATGGCGGCCACCTTCGCGTTCCCTTGGATCTTAGTACAACAGAAGGAGGCCAAGCCCAGAGAAGTGGCGGCCATTGTGGGCTCCTTCTTGAGCTCCTTGGGGTACATGGTGGAGCTCCAGCTGATCCGGTCGCAGGACAGCCAGCAGCAGCGGGGCTACATGGCTAGCGTTCCCGGGTTACTCAAGGTTCTGCAGGTTTTTGGTGGCTGTGTGGCCTTGGTTCTTATGGTGCCTCAAAAAAGTGAAGAAGAGTGGAGAATCGGCATCTCAGCCACAGTCTACAGCCTCTGTCTGGCGGCTTCTTTGGGCACGGTGCTGGTGATGGTGGGGGACTGTGCTGGACGCTGTCCGGTGCCATTCGACCGGCTGCTGGCTGGATTCAGCACTCTGGGGGTGCTCTTGTATATGGTGGCCACGGTCATCTGCATCACCAGAGTACTGAGCCCCCCAAATGACATTAAACTCTCTGTTCTTATGAGTGAGACAGTGATTGCCAGTATCACTCTGCTGGCCTATACGGTGGACTTGGCTTTTTCTGTCAAACTGCTGTGTGACAGAAATTAGGTGGAACAATGAGTGGAACAATAACATAGTGTAAGGACAGAGAAAGGTGATAAACAACGGACAGCATGGTTTTATAGTTTGTACTGTGAGTTAAACTCTGGGGAGATGGGTCATTTATCATTGATTATTATTAATGTAATTAATTTAATTAGGATAAATTGTTCTTGTGGAATTGTGTGTGAAAGCAAGGGTACATCTCAGTTCCTTCAGTCAGCGAACATAATTGTACCAAAATCCATTGAAATGATATTTTCTAAGTTGTATTGACTCCACACACCCCGTCTCGTGTGCAGGTTTTTTATTTTTATTGTTCTGTTTTAAAACATTAGGTTATGAAAAGGTATAAATACATATTTTCACCTGGAAAAACATATTTAAGGTCCACAACTGGACCTTCAAACCACTGTTGTACCTTTGAGGGAACATTTACATTGTTTGTACCTTGATGATCGAAAATTGTACCAGCACAGAACCTGAACAGTGCACTGTGTGGAAGTCCACCCGACATTTATTTAATTTCCGGTAGCAAGTTATTAATTTTTCATGTCAAAAAACATAACAGAAAAAATACACAAAAGCATCAACATCTAAATATAATATCATATTTGCTTCAGTATTTACTGTGCCCACCTTTTGCCTTCTTTTCAGAAGACCTGCTTTTAGCTCTTAAAAGAAATCCACACCTTTTACCACATCTGCAAAGCTCAGTCCTAGAAGTTGGTTTTGAATTTTCTGCTTCTCACCATCCACGTAATTCAATACATTCAGTGATTTTAAGATCTGGACTCTGGGGTGGTCAGTCCGTTGTTCTCAGAATGTCTCATATCTCTTTAGAAATATTTGCTAACAAATTTAAATATCTCCTGAAAAAACTTAAAAATTAAACTTATAGGCATTTCACTGTCCTCTGTAAACAACCCCAGTTCAGTTTAATGAATATACCCATTTATATTTTAATTTAAAAATACCTTAGGGGGCAAAAACAAATCAGGAACATACCAGTCAAAACAAGCAAACCTGAAAAGGGTGTAATGTGTAATTTCACTTTGTCGAACAAGACACGTGAAATGAGCAGTAAGGTAAACCCTAACTGTGTCACTAAGGTTATAATTAGCTCTCATTTAAGCCTTATCAATAAAATCGCAGACTATTCGAGTGCAGCATGAGATAAGCTATGTGTATATGTAGTGGGCTATATTTTGCATTGTGGTTGAAGTGCAGATGCACCATTTTTGCAGGCTGTGCATATTTCTGTCGTACGTCACTGAGGAGGATGCACCGTTATTTTTGCAGCTTTTTCTAAACCTCCAACGTAAACCTTCCTGGGTGACTTTTGCAGCTCTTAAAAACCCCCTAGGGCCTCAGAAGTGGGTGTGCACTAGGTTAGGGCAGGCAAAGGTTAGCACATGCAGAGTGAACACCACTAGATGGCAGCACGTTCCTTTGCCTGCATCTGGGTCAGCGTTTCAGTTTGTTTTGGTGTTATCTGGAGAGCCAAACGCCAGCTACTTTTTTCATTTCAGGAAAATGACTCATAAGTAAACCAGAAATGTGACAACAGTGGCAATAAAAAGGCTATTTTAGAGCTTTTTCTCAGATCTGTTTTCTTGAGGGTTCTATTAAAACATGCATGATCAAACAAAGAAATGAAAATTGATCTGGTGTCAGATTATAGGCCCTGATACCAATGTTAACAAGATGAACTACAACATGCTGGTATTAATTATATGTCTATTTATTTTGTGTTTTCATGCTATTTTCACACTGTTTCTCAAAATCTGCCTTCAAAAAGCAGCTCATTTCGAAAGAATAGAAAAGAATTTTGTTTGGCTGGCTATTCGAAAGAGGTGATGTAAACAGGATGAGAAGATGTGCTGAGGAGTATGTATGGAGTCTGTGGTGTATATCTGACGGAAATCACACCTTCAATTTGGTGCAAACAGAGATAAAGTGAACAACAGGCTCACCTGTGGGCTGTCAACAATAAAGATTGCTCTACTTTAATTTCAAGCCCCAGATCTCTGTTTTATTTTTCCAACCAACTCTTTCTGACCTTCTTTCAGCAAACTCAGTGGTGTCAAACACATCAGCAGATGAAAAAAAATGTGTTACAACTAACTAGATGTGTGTAGAGCAGCCTACAATCATATTAAAGTAAAATTATTATTGCATCAATGAAACAGGAGAACAGTAGCTTCCAAAAAACAACAAAAATATTAAGTAAAAAAAAAAATTTAGTACTGTGTTCCGTATAGAACTGCAGTGGAATGTAACGCATCCAACGTCAGCATAGACCTCTGAAGTGCGTCAATCTGTAGTCGGTGTCTTGACCACACTATGAACTCCAGGCCTTAGCAGATTTCTCTATGAGGAGAATGAATGTCCTTTTTTAAAATTGTTGATATTATGCCCGTTGTAAATAAATGATAGTGCTTGAAAATAAGTCTAAGATTAGAACACCATCTACTCAAACTGTAGTCTACTACTGCCACAGAAACACAACCACCACATCTAATAAAGCTTGCTGGGGTGGGTTATTATGGCTAGGTTGCTAGTCTTATTATACCAGTTCAGTTTACAGCAGTGTTAGAAATATTTGTATTTCAGCTACTTGACAACTTAACAATTTAAATTAGAGTAAATAAGTATGTGAGCAAAACAAATCAGGTTTAGGAAAGTTTTCTACACCACAGGGTGCGATATCAGTAATTTAAAAACATCATTCACTGCTCAATCTACTTACATCAAATCATTTTGAGCTGTTTCTTTTGGTCCATTCATCATGAAATTTACACACAGTGTAAAGAACAACAGGCATTTTCATATTATGTCAAAAACTGGAAAACGACGGAACAACAAAAAATGGAGATAAGAGGTTTTGTTGTGTACAATATGTGTATGTACACACACACACACACACACACACACACACACACACACACACACACACACATATGTATATATATATTTATATACCGATCAGGCATAACATTAAGACCTCCTCCTTGTTTCTTGTCCAATGTATCAGCTCCACTTACTATATAGGTGCACTTTGTAGTTCTACAATTACAGACTGTGGTCCATCTGTTTCTCTGCACATTTTGTTAGCCCCCTTTTACCCTGTTCTCCAGTGGTCAGGACCCCCATGGGCCCTCACAGAGCAGGCACTATTTGCATGGTGGATCATTCTCAGCACTGCAGTAACACTGATGTGGTGGTGGTGTGTTAGTGTGTGTTGCGCTGGTCCGAGAGGATCAGACACAGGAGGTGATCATATATATATGATATATATATATATATATACATATATATATATATATATATACATATATATATATATATATATATATATATATATATATATATATATATAGTGTGTGTGTGTGTGTGTGTGTGTGTTAACTTATTTTCACATGTATTGTTATGTAATATTAAAACAGGTATTTTGACTTATGTTTCTGCAACCTCTGTGACTTATTTCATTCAGCCTTAACAGACACAGACTCTAAAAACGCTCAAAATTAATACTCATTCAAAAACCAACCTAACTTAACTGGCTATGAATGCTGTGACGTTCGTTGTTACACCACGTGGACGACGCAACTTAATCGACCCCAGAATCCATGACAGTTCGATGAGAGCGCTTTCGATTAGTCCGGCCTGGCCAGAGTCAATCCGTGTTGTTTCTGTTTTCGGGAACTGTGAGAGTCAACAGGCTCAGAAAGAAGAAAAAGGAGAGAAAAAGCTTCGACAAGGACAAACACCCGGGCACTTATCCGCTTTAAAAGCTCGAAGCACGGATCCTCAAGCACAGCAGGTTGGTTTTTAGCTACAGGTTTGCTCGTAGGGCGGTGGGTTTGGGAGGAATTGTCGTTATTTCAGTTATTTCATGTCCTGTTTTAGTGCAGCATTGAGCTATGCGAATAGCTAAGGGCAGCTCGGTTTGTCTGTTTGGTCTTTTTCTGAGGAAAATACTTGATTGTTTTGTCGAAAAATTATATGACTAAGTATGACTGTATCCATAGTCATACTTAGTCATGCTTACTTTCCTTCTTACTTTGAGGTTTGTCGACGTTGACTAGAGAGTAGCTACAGAGACAGCAAAGGTGCATGTAAATGTATGTATATGTGTTAACATGCATATGTATGTTGGTGTACTTATATCTGTGGGATTCTGTCGACAGTCTGCTCTAATAGTATTGCCACGTTGCTCTTAAATTTCATCATGTCCATTTGAAGACTGTTGGTGCCATTATTATGAGGAATGAGCAGGTTTTTGCCTCTGTCAGCATGACTGGCAGTCATATAGTACTGCTTCTATTCCACAGTCAGAGCTTTTATTCATGTATTTATTGATTCCAAGCAATTTTCATTCTTCCTGAATGACATTCAGGAGTGTAAACAAGACACATATTCCAACTTAGCTTCTTTTGGGTGGCTTAGATTAGCTTGCTCACTTAGTCACCTATGCCATGCCTAAGTATAAACCTTTTAAAGTGATAGTGTCCAGGGTTCGAGCTAGTATTGTAAGGTCATCGGCCAGTTTGTTTAGGCTGTCGGTCTGTAGGTAGGTGTGGGTGTGAGTTGAGCTTGCATTAGTTGTTAAAAGCCCATCAGTTTATGATATCGGTCTCCATGGCAGGCCTGGACGGACATCACCCCCTCAGCCCGGAACAGATGCTGAAAAAGGAAAAGAAGTGAATGGCACTGAAAACTCAAGGTAAGCCAACTCCACTGAATCGAACCCCCCTTTCAGCCTGTGCCGTGGGGATCTTTCGGGGGAACTGAGTTGATTTACTTGTCAGTCAACACTCAGGTGGGTTAGTACAATAGGGCCATGTTTGGCTGCCTTATCACCAAAGTAGGCTGCAGGTCATTTACAAGTCAAAAACAGGATGTCGGCCTTGACTCGGTCAAAACCGTTTTTCTCTAAGCAAATTGTTACTGTTCTGGAGCCCAGGGGCGTGCCAGAGCTCGTGTGGCCGAGGTACAGCAAGATTGTGTGGGTTTGACCAAGCCAGCATGTGTTTGTCAAGGGTTCATCGCTTTGAACCACGAGTGATTCACCCATCTCTATGGAAACGGCTGAGGTGAAGTGATGGAGTTAATCTTTGACAGTCTGTTGAAAGTAACAGAGTTTCAGTGTTAGATTGTCTGGCCTTAATGGCTTACATGGGCTGAGGATCATAAAATAGCCACAGTGAACGTTGAGTTTAAACAGTGTTAGTCTGTTGCGGGGGTGCCCAAACTTTGTCTTGAGTGGCCAAAATGCAGTGCTTGTGGTGTGCCAAAGACAAAACATATACAAATAAAGAATGAGTAAGATTCAGATTTAGTTTTTAGTTTAAGTTGTAATAATATTACACTTTTTTTTGCTAAAGTAGCTTTAAAATGCACATTTAAAAAGGAAAATTGATTAGGAATAGAATAAGTTATATACAGTATAAAAATATGTTCTCTTATTGCCTGAGGGGGTGGGGTTAGTATAAGTTCTGGCAGGCTTCTTCACAGGCCAACTTTGGGCCATTCTTTTCTCTAAAGCATTGGTATCAAAATTGACCTTTTGGGCCACCAACATGGCAAAAAATATAACGTTATGGCACTATGGTACTTGAAGACATTTTCACAACACACAGTATGTATCACAGTATATTTGTTTTTCTGAGGTTTTCAAGCAAGAACGGACAAAATGCATCAACAAATCCATACTGCAACATATATAAAAAGTACTACAAAGTTTTACTCAAAAATAAGCAATTTTATAAGGAACAGGAGGAAAAATCAGGCAATTGTTAAGAAATAAATTTATAAAATGTCATAATGGCCTGAAATCCACTCTGTTAGTATGCAGTTTATTCAGTTAATCTACATTAGCTGTTGTTTACAGGCTCTCTATAATTGGTCTAAATCTATTTTTAATGATCCATGCAGTTGCTCAGTGTTCTAGAAGTGCAGACGACGGCCGTACTATTGGACAAGTTAGTGCCACGTCACAACAGCAAAGAACTTACTTCAGGGAGGATAACGCAGGTTGATAAATTCATGCTTTTTGTGTGGTTATTTTTGTCATATGATTATGAACATGCACCAGCCACACGCTTCATCACCTTTACACACGTACATTTATTCAGAATTGTGCAGAATCAAAGAAAGCTTTTATTTTTCTCTGTGAAGTGTGAAAATATCAGCAAAAACACTCTCTAGCATAAAATGCTAATAGCATTAGCTTTTTTAACTAGCTTTTGACACCTTATGTCAAACTCTCTACAAAATAATACTTGTAAAAAGCACTTATTGGTGATGTAATAGTGCTTGGTAACTTTTGTCTGGAAGAGTATATGATTTGTTGAATTGTTTAACATTACTTATAGCAGCTCTGTCTGCGTTTTAATGCTGGAAAAGTGGGAAAATGTAAGTAAAATCCATATGTGCTTTGGTGCACTTGACATTATAGCTTCAAACAGAGCAAGAGTTTACCTTTATTGTCAAAGTTTATGTTCACTGTTTATTTTTACAGTAGATTTCATGCTGACTGAGAACTATCCACCCAGAAGTATGGCCAACCTTTATGTTTACAAACATACTCAGAAAAGAGTATCCTGCAGTTCGTGGGTGTTTGCAAATTTCTGAAAAGTCTGTCCTCCTGTAGGTACTGTAGCTATGTCCAAACCTTTAGGTCAGATTGCCTGATAGCATCTGTTACACTTGTACTAAAAGACTAAACAGGCTCAGGAGCACAATGACAAATATGGAAGTAAACAGAGGGGAACATTTGAGAACATTATTCATTTTTATTCAAAAATAAACTGGCTTTACAAGATGATCAGTGCACATAAATACTGACAACTAAATGCAAGTCAATTTAAAGCACAAAAAGGATTGTGAAAACTTTATTTCTGTTAATCAAATGAGGCAGATCTTTTAGCCAAGTGAAAGTGAAGTGGTCAGTTTTCAGATCTAGTAAGGAGTTTTGACCCCAAAAAAAGCCCCTTCAGATGAGTTAATGCAATAAATAAATAAATAAATATATATATATATATATATATATATATATATGTATATGTATGTATATGTATGTATATGTATATATATGTATATATGTATATATCTGTATATATATGTATATATGTGTATATATGTGTATATATATATATATATATATATATACATATACACATACACACACACACACACACACACACACACACACACACACATTACACATTACACATACACATACACATACATTTACATATATATGTATGTGTGTGTATGTGTTTAAATGTGTAAATATATATATGTAGCGGTACATTCACAGTATTAGTAAATTTGTTGCCATTGTGCAGCTCTGCTGTTGTTATATGGGTATATTTTAAGCACAGTCTTGATCAGTGCTGTTGTCTGTGATGTAACTGTGCTGCTTCAATGGGCACTAGAACATTGCCCAGTTACAGCTTTCTATTTTAAACCTGCAACAAACGTATCTCTTTATACGAGTGTCATATTAAAAAGGTTTGCTCGTCTTCCTGCACCATGATTTGGACTGTGAAGTCCAACTCTACGTTAATGTGAGTTAGCCATGGCCGGCTGTTCGCTGGCCACGCCGGTCCTCTCGTTTCAGTTCCGTCTCTTCTTCCTTTCTCTCTGTCTTTTACCTCTTAATTGATTTTTATGGCTTTTAAGCCTGTTAATATTGAGTGGTGCTGCTCAGGTATCAGATAACAGTCTGCATCCCTGCTTTGTGTGTGTCTCTCTCTCTCTCTCTCTCTCTCTCTCTCTCTCTCTCTGTGTAGAAAGCCTGCCTGATTCTACTTTCTCTGTGCATGGAGGTTATAACAGTATTCATTCATCATAAAATATTAAAATAATTTTTTTACAGATAAAGTACAGTTCTGTCCTGTTAACTTCTTTCCTGTCAAAAGAAAAAAACTACTGTATTCTTTGTATCAGCTTTTTATTACCCAAATTATCTGATTGGATCTCGCTCAGATACTGTCAGGGCAGTTTTAGTTGCCTTATTACTGCTGTCATGGCTAATGTCCACAAAGACAGCATCAGGAATTGTATCATATCAGCTTATATCAATGTATAAACTAGGAGTGGGTGGCATGACGATATGTATCATTATTGCTGTATGCTATTCTAAGTATAGTGTGGAAATAGTCTGTACTTACACTCCTTCAAATTGGGATTTTGATATAAAGCTGATTAATCTTTCAGCCTATTTCAGGGTAGTTTTGTTACAGTATTGGGTCAGATTCTCTTTTTGTTTTCCAATGTCCCATCCAACATCTTCTACTGATATCGCCCTGGTTCCACTACCCATTAACAGTGATACACCATCGCTAATAATCGATTATAATTAATTCTAATGTTCCAAATTTGATGCATTTTAATCACCACCTTCAGATCGAGGCATCAAAGCATTTTAACCCATATTTCATTGACAAGAGTTACAGAAAAAGCAGTCTTATCTTGCTAGTTGAGTTCTGACAGTCATGCTGACCTGGTTGAAGGAGTCCTGGCTGCTCTGTTTGTGATTCAGGTGTGACTGGTATGGGCTGTTGCAGAGCTGACTGTGGCGTATTTCCTGTCAAACCACCACTCGAAACTAGCCGTTGAGCAGACGAAGAGCTTCTAGAGAAGAGCTCTGGGCTTATCAGCAGCTCGAGGAAGCAGAGTACTAAAGCCAGGCACCTGTTCACAGGAGCAGACTCCACACCAGTAATGACCAGGTTACATAACCCTGCTCCTTACACCTGGCCATGAGCAGGAAAAGAGGCAGGGAGCTTCTCTTAGGCCAAACATCAAGTGGTTTTTGCTAGGGCTGAACAATTTGGGGAAAATATCTAATTACAATTTTTCTGACTAATATTGCAACTGCGATTTAAATTGCTATTATTCTGTATAAATTAAAGTTCACTCATTTTTTTTTGCCAAGAACACCAGGATATCCACTTTTTCTGACTTGATGCCTGACCCCTTAATGTAGTATGCCAGAAAGCCAATAGGCTGTGGTTGTGATGTCACAACAGATGGAGATTTAGTTGGCTTTGATTGGTCTAACTCTACAGGCAGTATATAACTCTGTTATTAGGTTAAATTTCCCCACTTAAAACTAGATAGGGTTTTTGATAATGTCGGCTTTAGTTCTTAAAAAAATTGCAGCTCTTGTGTTTTGAAAATTGCATTCTCTTAAATTGCGATTTCGATATAAAAACGCTTAATCTTTTGGACTGTCAGAGTAGATGTTTGTTGTTGTTGTTGTTGTTGTTGTTGTTGTTGTTGTTGTTGTTGTTGTTGTTGTGCAGTCATCGCTTTTACTTTCTTTCATTTTGTGTTCGTCCAATCATATGAAAACTTAGAGCACCCTTGGTCAAGTATGTTTTGTTGATTGTCCAAGTGAAAATAAGTGAACACATCTTCTACAGGGAGCACATTTAAATATGGCATTTTACTGCTAATTTTAGTGCACAATTTCTATTTTATTTGCTAAGATTACATATTGAAAAAAAAATATATTAAATGTGCCATAACTTTTGCACAGGCCACGTATGCTTTTAATTTTCTCAAGTGTTTTAAATTCGGCAGATAAACAGCACCTGTGCATACAAATGTGCAGAAATGTAAGTGTATTTATGTTCACTTAAAAAAATAAACAAAACATGCCCTTTCACCAGGGGGGCCCGAACAGCATACAGCAGTACATCGTCAAATATC